TAGCTCTGAAGTCGCGTGGCTCTGATGCTCATTAATTATTCAGAATTTTAAGCATTTAATTCCACTTAAACAGAAAAGTTACAAAATAATTCACCCTCTCAGAGTTGCTATGAATGTAAAATCGATCCATTAAACCTAAAATGTTTTTTTGAACCAGGCTATAAACAAGTTTATTTCTGCTGTGAAATTGGCGTTTTTAACATGGAAGTCAATGAGGATTTGCTCACAGCCCCTAGTGGATGAGGGTGGAACTGCAATTATAGCCCCTCCTCCTTGGCTTCAAAAATGTAGACCATAATGGCCCCTTGGTTTTGTTTTGAGACTAAAATGTTTGCTAGTCAGCTTATTTAACGTCCTTGTGCAAGTCTTCATTTTCAGTTAGATTTGTTTGCAACGCTGACGTTTTATCGAGCATCACAAAGGAAAAATAAAAGTGATCACGTTTATTTGATCGACGTGTATTATTCTGTTAATGTCTTTTGAACATGTAAATAAATATCTCTCTTTGTTTTAAGAACCGGCTTCATTGGACAGCTTGGTCAGGGCAAATCCGCTCAGCCGAATCTGCACCAGAGTTAACGGACAGCAGCTTAAATGGAGTACAAATAAATGTTAATATAAAAATAGAACTTTTAATTCACTTGTTTTTTACAACTATTATTGCTCTGTTACAATTTGACCATATTTTCTGAGGAATAGAAAATAAAGGCTTTTTATTCACTTTATCGATGGACTGCCGTGGCCCTAATGTCATAAATATACTTTGTAATTCCTTTTGTGGAGCTAAAAATGTTCCTTAAAGAATTAACAAGTAATGAGTTGTTCACACTTTATATCAGGGGAAGCAAAAAAAGTAATAGATTACTTGTAGATGTACAAATGTCATTTATTAATGTTTTTAAGGCTACAAATGATTCTTAAAAACTAAAAAAGTAAGTTAGTTGATCATTTGGAAACGACTGGCGCATCATGATCTTATATATTACAGCTATGAACATTACCTAATGTGTTAGAGCATGTGTAAATGTTATTTAAGCTTTATAAATGATATGTATGCAGCCTAATACCTTGTAAATGATTTATTAATGACTTAATAAACATTTATAAATGTTTAATAATGAAACTTTGTTACAAAGTGTTACCTGTACATTTTCTATAGATTTTTTGAGAGGTTTTGATTTACCATAAAATAAAACATTGATATAAAAAACTGAACATAGAAAATATGAATTAAAATAATTAGGATATAACAAACCTGTGTCCTCAGGTCGCAATCAGGCTAAATAAGCAGCGGTGCTTTTATTTTGATGGGAATGAACCGATAAGGAACCAAGGGGTGACATGGACATCTGATGAAAACACTGCTGTTATGGCCGATGGCCGATGTTTGCTGATGTTCTATATTATAAGCGGCGACCTACACTTCCAACACCGTGCTGTTTTAGAGCCACAATGACTCACTTCAGTCCTGGTTCTGCACAGGCTAGCTGTTAGCCCATCCACCCATCCATCTTTTTCACTAAACTGAGGCTGTTCAAAGACTTTCAGTTATTCTTCCTGAACACCTGATTCATCTCCGAGAATTCCCGAGGCCTAAAACCTGAACGTGGAAGTTCTGCGTGGGCAGAAGCAGAGTTCTGCAGTCGGCAGCTTCCTCTGTGCCTTTAAATCTGGACGTCAGCTCCTCCACAGCGCTCTCCAGGGAGCCCGATGCCCGGCATGACAACAGATGGAGCCCCGAGGCTCTGGGACCCACACACACACACATCTGATGATTGAAAACAAAGCAGTCAGACATTCTGTCGTGGTCTCAGGAGGACATCTGTTGGACCCGTTTGGACCCTCTGGTGACCCGGTCCATTTGAAGCTCAGAACCGACCTTTTGTGCTCCAACGCTTGCGAACCACGACGAGGCAAATTAACACAAAGCCCCTTCAGCTCACCATCCTCCAACAATAAAAGCTGCAGCTGACCCCTTCAAAATAAAAGCCTCTGTGCACAACTTCTCCTAAGTGCGTTTTTCATCTTTCGAGTTTCTGCTAACCCAGTGGTGTTCTGTCCGGGTCCTCCTGGGCCACCGTCCTGCAGGTTCTAGTGGCTCTGCTCCAACACACCTGGTTTAAATATTCAACCACTGGTTTATGCCGGGGTTGTTTCTGCTTTTGTTTCATGTTCATATTGTTATTTCATAGAGACGTCCCGATACAACTTTTTCACTTCCGATACGATACAGATATTGCAGCCATCAGTATTGACCGATACTGATATTAATCCGATACGATATCAGCACAAATCATACATACTTTTATCTATTTCAAGAGCCAATAACAGTAAGTTTGTAACCATTGGTTACAAAAATGTGAATCTTAACGAACTCCTTATGTCAGAGAATTTCGATGCAGTCCGATATAATCCGGTCCACTGTTTTTGGGCCGATATCGAATTACTTCCGATATCGATATCAGAACGGGACATCCCTGTTATTTTATCAGGTGTGTTATTTAAATCTGTCAGTAACACATATGGCCATGTAGGCTAAAATACGTTTTACAGACTAAGTCAGACAAACTGACTCTGGGCCGTTTCAGAACTCCATATTCTCCCACAGCTCTGCCAACAAGCATAATGCAACTTTTCTGGAGCAGCGAATCCTTAGCCTAGTGAACTAGACCAAATTCTTGCTTTGCAAAGTTTGGTCTAGGCATGCTCCATTGGAACCTCCGCAGCTCCTACCAGGACTCTGGCTAGCCAATCACAGCTCTCTAGAGGGGTTTCAAACACATAAAGAGCTGTGATCGGTCCATAATGGTGGGCCAATCATAGTGCTCTATCTGCTTAGTGAACAAATCACAGAGCTTTATCCGCTTTGTGGGCCAATCAGGGCACTCTATATGCCTGGTGGGTGGGATGATGCAACAGAGTGAAACAAGAGTGTCACATTCATTGTCCAGTGGAATGCGGAGATCATTTGAAAGACAACGGTAGAACCCGCCCCACAACCGAGAGCCGTCAATGGAGCATGGCCAGACTAAATAATACATTTATTTAGTCTGGCTTGCCAGGCTAGCGAATCCTGTCGTGGTTGTTCCGATCGACGAAGTCTGGGAGCGCTGGGTTGCGTTTCTGCTGCGAGTCCGGCAGAAGCCGAGCAGCACACCGGCTGGACCTGCTTAACACGCTTCGCCGGATCTAAACCTGGATTCAGACGTTTTCCGTCTGTTTGAACGTATCCGTCAGCGAGGGAGCAGGAGGAGGTTTGTGAATGTTGGAATCTGATTTGGTGTAAAAAGGCAAAATAAACGTTCTGATCACACGATCCGTCTGCCAGTGTCTGCGTGAGACGACACATGATTGGATCCTAAATGCCAGAAAAATCCCAGTGATGGTGAACTTACAACAAATCATCAGGCTGAGCAGAAATCAGAGCCGAGATTAGGGCCTGATGGGAAATGAGCTCTCGCTCTGAAAGAACTTCTCTTCTAAGATAAATCAGCTTCAGCTGCAGGAAACCAACGGGGGAACGTTCGGGTTTCCGTGCATCAAATCCCGTCAGACTAAAAGTAAATCTCTAAAACTTTGTGTGACTTTGAGCTGAACTCGTCTCACGCAGAACCGAGCCTCTTCACCAGGAACCAGAACGTTTGTTACTCTAACAGAGCGCCGGCGTTCACGCCGCGGAGCAGACGGAGCAGCAGATGGAGCTTAAACCGGCACGGGAACAGCTGCTCAGACGGATCGGATTCATTAGGAAATAAATGATGGAGCTGTTCAAACATTCTTCTTCTATGGTTTCGTCTGCAGTAATTAACTGCAGCTCTGAAAGCGGTCTGAGCTGCTCAGATGAACCTCCTGATTACCGCTGGCTTTACGTTGGACCACTCTGCCACAGATGCTCACAAACAGGAAGTCTCCACCAGGAACAGCTGCTGCTCTGTCTTTCATCCCAACCGGATCCAAGATACAAGCAGGAATTAACGAGGATCTGGACCGACCAGCGTGATGTGTTGATGGCCCGGGTACCGTCCCAGTCCGTTATACGGTTTGTGCTTGTGCAGTCGTCTGTGGCCTCCACTTGTTTCCTCCTCTACGCTCTATTGTTGGCGTCCGGTTTGTCCCGCAGCTGTTTAACTGCAGAGTCTGCACAGGATTCCTATGCGACTCCACACTTTTGTTCTGATGACATCTTGTCTTTTGGGTGTGGTCGAAACAAGTCAAAGGCACAAAAGCAGCAAAACAAGAAGCAGATAAGAAATCAGCTGTAGCAGACCACTAACCCTAACCACATAACGGAGGAGGAGCGAGCACGGATCCTTAACTCAGAACCATGAAATACAAAAGGCGGGTAAAGGAAGCGAGGACACGGACATGAACAGGGACGAAGGAGGCTACACGCTGGATCACTCATGGGACAGGCGTGGACAGCAGAGGGCGACATTGTCCTCTGCTGTCCACAGACAAACACCAACATCAGCGGCGCTCTGACGGCGGCGACAGCAGGAGCGGAAGGTACAAACAAGCTTCGATCCTCTGTGTTCAGAAAACAACCAAAAGCAAAAGAATAAGAAAGTAAAGACAGAATGAACGTAACAAACGTCTCTTCTATTTACCAGGAAACCCACTTCCTGCCACATTAGCCAGAACTACTTCCTTTTCTGGCTTTGACGTCAGAGGTTGTGTGTGTGTGTGTGTGTGTGTGTGTGTGTGTGTGTGTGTGTGTGTGTGTGTGTGTGTGTGTGTGTGTGTGTGTGTATACGTACATCGAAGATAGGACATTTAGCTGTTCCTCACTTTGGAACGTTACAGAGCTCTACTGGTTAGTTTTAGAGGGCTGAAGTGATTTAAGGTTACGGTTAGACACAATCCAGTCACTAAAATGCATTAAAGTCAATGACGGTCCTCACAACAAATGTTAGACTAGTGTGTGTGTGTGTGTGTGTGTGTGTGTGTGAATAAGGATCCTGGCGATACAACAGAAGCTGAACGTTAGCACACATCCTCACCGAGTTTGGGCAGTGAATACTGGACTTTGAAGTAATCCTCATAAAATCCCAGGAGCCTCTTGGTGATGTGGAGAGCGTAGTCTCCCGCGCCGCTCGAAATGGCATCCGGCCGGGCGTAGAGGCGGATCTGAAGACAAAGACGGCAGAGACAGAAGTGGAATGAGGCCGATTTTAATAGAGATGGATCTAAAAACAGATACAAGGAGAGGAAATTGGACTGAGTGTGTTCGGAGCTCCTCAGAGAACCGAACCGAGTCCAAACCTAAAACAAATAAAAAAAAGGAAATTAAAGTTGGCGGAGTGTTTTAAACTCCACGGAGGAAATAACACAAGCACACACACAAAACTACATATTAGGGACGTTTTGTTCAAATGTTCAGAAAGAAAAACCAAATGGGGCCAGAGCTGAGCGGGTCGGGCCTCCAGAGACAGAACCAAACCAGGACAGCTTCCAGAAAGCAGCCAGGTCGAGTTTGGGTTCAGATGTTGGAGAAACAATGAGTTTAGAGACCCGAGGAAAGAGGTGGAAGCTCCGGGCCAATTCAGATAAACAGGATGGATGGATAAATAAACAAACAAACAAATAAATAAATAAATAAACACTCAAATATCCAAGGAAAAAGCATAATTCCCAATCTATCTAAAACATCTTCATCCCGTTTTGGTGTCTAAAGGAAAATCAAAGGCAGCAACAACAACAAACAGCTGATCCGCCTAAAGCTCCGATCCATAAGCAGTCGTGTCAGGTCACATGACCGCAGTGCAATGACCTCACCGCTGACCTCGTTGAATCAGCTGCTCAGTGGAATTCATATTCCAGATGTTTCTTGTCTGCAAGCAGAGCTGTGAGGAACGTTTCCATCAAGTTAATCAACCCGCAGCAGGATCCAGAGATCAGGTTTGAGATCCAGAGATCCAGAGATCAGGATCAGGATCCAGACATCAGGATCCAGAGATCAGGATCAGAATCCAGAGATCAGGATCAGAATCAGAATCCAGATATCAGAATCAGGATCAGAATCCAGAGATCAGGATCAAAAATCAGAATACAGACATCAGAATCAGGATGCAGAGATAAGGTTCAGGATCAGGATCCAGATATCAGGATCAGGATCCAGATATCAGGATCAGAATCCAGAGATCAGGATCCAGAGATCAGGATCAGGATCCAGAAATAAGAATCAGGATCCAGAGATCAGGATCCAGACATCAGCATCAGGATCCAGAGATCAGGATCAGAATCCAGACATCAGCATCAGGATCCAGAGATCAGGATCAGAATCCAGCGATCAGGATCCAGACATCAGAATTAGGATCCAGAGATCAGGATCCAGACATCAGAATCAGGATCCACACATCAGAATCAGGATCCAAACATCAGAATGAGGATCCAGATATCAGAATCAGGATCCAAAGATCAGGATCAGAATCAGGATCAGGATCCAAACAACAGAATGAGACTCAGGGTCATGATCAGGATCCAGAGATCAGAATCAGGATCCAGAGATCAGAATCAGGATCCAAAGATCAGGGTCAGGATCTAGAGATCAGGATAAGGATCCAGACCTCAGAATCAGGATCAGGATCCAAACATCAGAACGAGACTGAGGATCAGAATTAAGATCCAGACATCAGAATCAGAATCAGAATCCAGACATCTGGATCCAAACATCAGAATGAGGATCCAGAGATCAGGATCAGGATCAGCACAGAGTCAGCTCTACTGAGGGTCTTAAATGATATCTATCTATCACTAGATCAGGGTACATCTGTGGTGCTTCTGTTGTTAGATCTGGCGGCAGCCTTTGACACGGTTGACCACGCGATTCTTCTTGATCGCTTGGAACGATGGGTTGGGATCAAAGGGTCTGCTCTGGATTGGTTTAGATCATATCTCCACAACAGGACATTCTGTGCCAAACTGGATGATGTTTTTTCTTCTTGGGAGGGGCTCCGCTGGGGGTCCGACAGAGATCGATCCTTGGTCCTCTTTTGTTTGCAATTTATCTGCTTCCTCTGAGGTCAATCTTTTGTAAACATGGCCTATCGTTCCATCTCTATGCTGATGATTGCCAGATTTACTCTCCATTGTGTCAGGAGAAAGGTCACGCTATCCAGTCCTTTGTGTCCTGTCTTAACGAGGTAAAGTCTTGGCTAATGGCCAACTTTCTGCATCTGAATGAGGGAAAGACCGAGCTAATTGTTTTTCAATCAATCAATCAATCAATCAAAGCTTTATTTATAAAGCGCCTTCCGCAACCCTATCGGGAAGCCCAAGGCGCTGAACATGGTACAAGAGAAAGTTAAATATGGTGAATAAATCGAAAATAAAAGCAATTCAAATTACAAATTACAAAAAAAGGTCAAACATTCTAGTAGAAGACAAATGGGTAAAGCAAGGGATAGAGCGAACCAATGAAAACAGGGAAATAAAATCAACATACAAGAGGGCCAAATTCAAACACATTCAGGAAACGCCAAGCGGAGGAGATGGGTTTTTAGGCAACTCTTAAAGACTGGCAGAGATGGGGACAGCCTAACTGAGGGTGGCTACTGGTTCACCCCAATAGCGGGGCTGTGGGTCGTTATGTTGGTCTTGGCCCTTTTTCTCCATACTCAAAACCAGTTGTCACCAGTCTGGGGGTGAAAAATGACGCTGGACTTAAATTTGATGCTCACATCAACTCAGTGATCCGGTCCAGTTTCTTTCACCTGAGACGCCTTGCAAAAATCAAGCCTATGCTGTCAAGTGCCCACCTGGAGCGGGTACTCCATGCTTTTGTTATTTCTAGGCTTGATTACTGCAACTCTCTTTATGCAGGGTTGCGTCAGTCATCACTGCATCGCCTACAGGTTGTGCAGAACAGCGCAGCCAGGTTTCTGACGGGGACCAGGAAACGGGACCACATCAGTCCGGTTCTGACCTCCCTGCACTGGCTTCCGGTCTGTTATCCTTCACACTTTAAACTCCTCGTCTTTGTTTACAATTTCTTCCAGGGTGGTGCTCCCCCCTATCTAGCCACACTCCTGAACAGACATTCCCCATCACGTGCTCTGCGCTCCTCTGACAAAGGCCTGCTCGCTGTCCCTCGGTCTAGGTGTCATACTCGCGGGGATCGGGCTTTCTCAGTCCTAGCACCGTCACTCTGGAACCAGTTGCCACCCTCAGTTAGGCTGTCCCCATCTCTGCCAGTCTTTTAGAGTCGCCTAAAAACACACCTCCTCCGCTTGGCGTTTCCTGAATGATTTTGGCCCTCTTTTATGTTGATTTTATTTCCCTGTTTTCATTGGTTCCTTTATTCCTTGTTTTAACCATTAGTCTTCTACTTTAATGTTTTACCTTTTTTTTTTGTAATATTTGAATTGTTTTTATTTTCGATTTATTCTTCATATTTAACTTTTCTCATGTACCATGTTCAGCGCCTTGGGCTTCCCGACAGGGTCGCGGAAGGCACTTTATAAATAAAGCTTTGATTGATTGATTGATTGATTGGTTGATTGAGGATCCAGACATCAGAATCAGGATCTAGAGATCAGGATCAGAATCCAGCGATCAAGATCCAGACATCTGAATCAGGATCCAAACATCAGAATCAGGATCCAAACATCAGAATGAGGATCCAGATATCAGATCAGGATCCAGACATCAGGATCAGAATCAGGATCAGGATCCAAACAACAGAATGAGACTCAGGATCCAGAGATCAGAATCAGGATCCAAAGATCAGGATCAGAATTAGGATCCAGACATCAGAATCAGGATCAGGATCCAGAGATATGTTCTATCTAGACCCCTGTGTTCTGCTGACGGTGACCTGCTGGTGGTCCCTAGAACCAAGTGCAGATGTAGCGGGGACCGTGTGTTTGCCGTGATGGTCCCAAAACTGTGGAACTGCCTACCTGGTGATGTGAAACAATTTACCTGCCTTAGAGCCCGACTGCATCAGTGCTAGAGGTCACCGTCTCTCTCAGATGACCTCTACAGTGACGATCACGGTCGTACGGGGGTGTCATGTGACGTGTAGTTGTTGAATGTTGATGTTTTTAAGGATTGTTTGGTTTTAATTTCAATTCCAAACAAATATGATTGAATACATTTTTCCTTGATCCCATCTGACTTCACACGAGCGTACTGTGTGTTGTGTTCAGTACCTTGGGCTAGCCCGACTGGTGGCAGGAAGGGGCTTTATATATAAACTGATCGATTGAGGATCAGGATCAATCCCAGAATGTCAGACCGATCTTCAGCTTTCTGACTGAAAACACATTTCATCCAAAAGAAATCCAACATTCCCACTAAAAGTTCCAGATTAACGTTTACGTGTGAAATAAAGTCGGATTTTGCTTTAACTCCCGTCTGCATGCAGGAACTCGGCTTCAGGAACATTTAGTCTCTCAGTTCGGACTAAATTAAACAGACTTCAGCTGCAGCAGAAGCTGTTTTAAGGCAGACAGAATCACAAGAATTCCATATTGAATGTTTTATGATATTTAGGACTTTTGTGTATTTCTGCAGGGTGTCCAGGAGTTTGTGTCGTTATTCCTGCTGGTGCCGCTGCTGCTCCTGAACCTTCTTCAATGATTCTGTTGTATATCTTTGGGACACGACCAGGATCTAGAAACACCAGGAGAACACACTTCCAGACAGTGCTGGACTGACCATAGGGCATAGCGGGCAACTGCCCGCTGGGCCGACCCTTTCATCTTTTATGGGCCGGTGTCTGTTTTTTTTTTTTTTTTTTCCTGGCCTCTAGTTGTTGCGGACAACTTGTCCGCGCCGCCCCACGCGACGCCTCGTAAAAGTTGGTGGATTGGCCAATTGGTAATAATACACTCTGGGCTGGACCAATAGCCAGAGGTCTGATGCACCCGCCAGTTGTTTGTGAATCTCAGTAAACAGACAGACGAGCTTAACAAAATGGAGAACAAAAAACGGAAAGGAGGAGCGGAGAAAATTCGACTAAAAAAGAAACTGGCCCTTCAGGCTGATGCTGGCACATGTGTTAAAATCTCACAGTTGTTTGGTAGTGAAGGTTCAAGTAAAATCAATTTAGGAAGTGATGGAGCCTCAGCCCAGCGACAGGTTGGAGAAGAAAAGAGGGAGGAGGAGGAGAAACCCGAGCCGGT